GGGGGGGGGGGGGGGGGGGGGGGGGGGGGGGGGGGGGGGGGGGGGGGGGGGGGGGGGCGGCCTCTCCCTCCGGTGCCGGTGGCCGTAACGGTGCCGTAGCGGGCTCTTACGGCGCCGGGGTGCTGTGCCGGTAGCCACCGGGCCGGTGCGAGGTAAGTTACGGCTCCCTTTGCCGAAGGGACTCGTGCCGCCACGGCCTTCAGCCACGGGGGCCAGAGCCGTGTCGCTGCTGATAGCCACGTTTAGCTAGCGAGGGAACCGTCAGTGCAGCAAACCTGATCTGTGTATTTTAAAGCAAACCCCGTTAGGGGATGCGGCTGTCTGGAGAACCCGTTCCAGTTCCTTTAGGCTGCGTCTATGGCCGTGAGGCCACAGTGTGCTCCAGCCTCCTGCCTCTCCGCAGAGCTTGGCCTGGGCACGTCGCGGCTCTCCTCCCCACGTAGCTGGCTGAAGGACTTGTGTGAAGTTACCCTGTGCTTTACAGCTGAATTTTTCTCCTGTCACCAAGGTCCCCTGATGTTTCAGGCTTCGAATACGGGTCAAAGTACTGTAGTTGCCTCTTTTAGACAAAGTGGATTTATCGTGATGTGTTTGTCCTGGGGTCATACTGTGCTAAAACTGAGTTTAGACTGTAGTCTAAAATGTTGCTGCAGCTCACGATAGCTGTCAGCGAGATGAGGACCCCGTGTTGCCAAGAGCGGGTCTCGCGGGTTGCTTAAGTCGATTGAGCAAATGTGACAAGGATGGAAATGCAGGTAAGCTTCAAAATAAGAGCACTGCGCTTGCAGGTGGGAGCCCAAATTTATGCACAGGAGAAGCAGCAGCAGTTGGTACTGTAGGGGCCATCTGATGTGTTCACTGGCCCACATGTTTAGCGTGCCATTTCTCCCTCTTGATTATTTTTGATCTTAAGTGTATGTTACTGGGAGCCCTCGGCGGAAAATCCATGCTGCCTTGATACGAGAAATGAACTCTAGTAACGTCTTTGTCCTAAACTTTCAGGCTTAAGTGGGATTGTGGGCTCTTAAAAATCAGCCTTTGGATCGTCTGATGGGGTGTAGCAGAGCAGCAAATCCGAGCCCAGGAGGAGCCATTTGGTGTGAAGCAGAGGAGCTACCAGACCGCACTGCTTTCCAGCCCGGCCGTAGCCTTTGCCTTAGTTGGGGGTTTGGAGGGGCCGACCCCCCTGGACGTGCCGTGCAGTCATCCTTTTTACAGCTGCTGCCATCAGATGGCTGGAGAAACCACGTCCTCCAAACTGGGAGTGGATCTGACTTCCCACGTGGATGGGATACCCCAGGGTGGCTGTAGGCGATGCTGACATTTTTTTGAGCAGCTGCCATTGACTGAGTGCAGCGCTGGGGATCGTCCCTTGAGCAGAGAGAGCCTTCCTTCCACAGCTGGCCTGCGCAGGGGCTCTCCCTGCTGCTTTCCAAGGCAGGGCTCAACATGCTGACGCACTGGTTGCTTCTGCGTCGCAGGGAGTTGTACTGATCCCTAGAACTGGGAGCTGAACCTGTGCAGGCAACTGACCATTGATGCAAATGTAGTTTGGCTCAGTGGCAGAGGTGCGAGTTGTCCCAAGTCAGAGCTGCAGAGCTATGCATTGGTCTGTGCTGTACAGAGCTAGCAAACACTGCCGAGGTGATAACAGCGGCACAGAGACGTCCAGCTCGGCCCCCTCTCACAAGCAGAGAGAAACAGCGCAACTCCAGACACCTAAAAAGTACCATTGACGCTCTACAAAGGAGGGCTCGCGCATAACCTGCAGTCGGAGGATGCTGACTGCATCCTAAGGTCTGGAACTGTGTGTGTGAAATGGGGGTTGCTTATTGATGAGGTGGTTTGGTTTTTTTCTGTGTTTGCAGAGGAACCTGTTGGAGGAAGATTCAGATGAAGAGGAAGACTTTTTCTTGTGAGTTTCTAAACGGCTGCTGTAGGGAATGTGATGTCTTAGCTGCCTACATCTCCAAGACTGGAGGTGTTGAATACCAAAAGCTGCTCCCTGCCACATAGGTGGGGGCTTGGGAATCAAAACTTTTGATTCCTTTGAGATGGTCTCCTGGAGCCATGGCATCGAGCATGAATTGAGACTTAATAGGTGTGACCTGTATAAGAGTGGGGTGCCCACATATCCTAAGACATGGGAGGGGCTGATGGGAGGCATGAGAACAGTCCTCCATCCACAAGGCTCTGGTTCTGTCTTTGAGTCTTTGGTTTAGATACATGTTTTCATTGCATCTTCCATCCTGATTGCTCTCTTTTCTGCCTGCAGGAGAGGGCCTTCTGGACCAAGATTTGGACCCAGGAATGACAAGATCAGGCAGTAAGTTGTTCTTCCTCAGTGTCGCACGGATAATATTTTATTTTGGCACTGTGAGCTCCTGCTGCTGTCTTACTGGAGTAGTTCTGTGTAGTTCTGAATATGAACATGGCTTGTGCTTTCTGTCTTCTAATTGACGTTTCCTACCCTACGGGTCCACAGCTAAGGGAAATTTCAAATTTGATTCACACTATCAAGAAATTGTGCATTGACAGAGGCGAAGGGATAGGATTGTATCACAGTAGCTTAGTGGAGTTTCTAAAGCCCTTGCTGTATTCCGGTGATGCCCTGCTCCATGCTTTTATGAGGCTCTTTTTCTAGAGCATTAACCCTGAATTTTAACCTTCGCTAGCACCTTTTTTTATTGTTTCATTGCTTTTTTCTTCATCCTGTAACTTGCTCCTCAATGTTTCAAGAAAGCAAGTGGTCAGGAGCACGCCAGGACCATGTTTTTTGGGCAGCGGCTAGTCCTCTGGCCTCTTCTTCTCCAGATAAAAACCTGATACAGGTGACCTGGAGATGAGCAGTGACTCAGTGGGTCAAAGCAGCTGGACAAACAGGAAGCCATTACAGGTGGAGGAGGATTATTGACTGTATTAGAGCAAGAAGGAAGGGGTGAATGCTCTGGATCCTTCTCCCATTGAGTCATTTCCTGCACGATGCTTGTTCTGGGCTCCAGTTTGTCCTGCCCTTTCCTATGAGGGATGCAATGGTGGTACTTAATGGAAAGTGGCAGGGGGGAGGATATTCACAGACCCCTGGTTTGTGTTGCACTGTTTCCTTTGCTGACCTCCATGGAGCCAGAACAGAGATCTGTGCGGGGACTGATGACCGGGCGTTATTCAGACTGGGTTGTCTTGTGTGCACCCTGAGCGTTGCCGTTCGTTACGGACTTTTTTCATGCCGGGAAGAAGCCAGTGCAGCTCTGAGATGACTCATTGCCAACATCAGCATTAGGCAGCGCTTGCTTGTGTGCCTGCTTGCCACGTTACCTTGAGGGGCGAAGTGCACTTGAGTTACACAAGAGGCAGCAGGTCGGTCACTGCGCCCTGAGTTTTCAGGGGATCTCTGCTCCCTCCAGGGTGTGAGGACGCTGTTGGTAGAGGCGCACTGGTCCTTAGAGTAAGCCAGTGTGGATAAAGCCTCCCTTCTAGGGCAGGGCCAGGCTGATCTAGAGTGAGTGAGAAGGATGAGCATTGGTTTTATGAGTGGGATCCTGCCCCCATAAAAAGGTGGAGAGGGGAGCACATCTACCCCTTCATCCTCCTCTGCTGGAAAGGAATTACAGAGTGTCTTCTGCCTTCCCTGCGTGGCGGGGAGAAAACGGGAGCTCTTCTCTCCCTACTGTCTTGGACAGGCAGGAGGGAGCAAGGGCTTAGGTAGAGGATACCACCGCAGCTGTGAAGGGGAAGAAAAATGAAAGAAGAATTCACCCAGGAGCTGGTGGGTTCATAGGTGTGATGTGACTAATGCCCAACACACATGAGGCTTGCGCATTGCCAGAGATTGCCTGTCTAGTGGACCTGGTATGGAATATGTCCCTTGGGGTGGTAAGTGGCTACACCTATCTAGTACCTACAGCATCTATTATAAAATAGTATCTATTTTCCGCTCTCATCAATGTTGATTGCTTTGTTTAATAAGCACTTCCAGGGTGCAGTTGTCACTTTTTTGTCGTGGAGCTTATTATTAAGTTTCTGATCAGACCAGCCCTTGTGCTGGATGGATTGATGCCTGGTCTCGTAATGATGCAGTCTGTTCTTGTTTCAACAGAGGAGGAAAAAGAGGGTTGGGTTGCTGCTGAAACACTGTAAGGAAAAGACATTTTAAGGAGGAATTTGAGCATTTGGACAGCTGAGGCGTAACTGGGCAAAGCTAGAGAGACTGTAGCTGTACGGGGCTGGAGGAACGAGGTGTGAAGATAGGCGTAGAAGGAAACTGGATGGAGGATTGGGTAGAGGAAAAAGTGATGGGATCATGGGAGCAAAGATGAGGAACATGTTGAATGTGAGGGGCAAGACTGGAAACTTTTCCTAGTTGTCCTTGGCCACGAAGGGGCTTGGGTCAGGGTGGAGATTTTGGCAGCAGAGACCCTCAAGGCTGGGTCAGCTGAAGAAAGAGATGGTAGGGAACACTGCAAACCTCGTAGGGGAGAGAGATGAGTTAGAGCCAGCAATAGTGGCAGGAGAAAGTGTCACAGTGCCCTCAGTGCTGTGTTTTGTCCTGATGTATCTGGAAGTTCAGGCTCTGTTGTCCGAACAGCTGCTTGGCTGGGGTGGACTCTTCCCCCGTAATTAAGTGGCCACATGGGGTCTCTTAGGCTCCCTCTGAGACGTCCCCGTCCCTGGGGTGGGCTGGAGCTGAAAGGTAGCTTTTAACAAGCTTTTCCCCAAAGTTACAAAGAACAGGTAAGAGAGCACTGCCTTTGCTTCCAGGCTTTGTGAGAAGTCCTGAATGCGCGCCGAGAGAGCTCTTAGTGCCTTTACGGTGGAAGGTGAGACGTTCATCTTCTGCCTGGGTTTCTTTTATGTAGAACAGGAGCCTGTCATCACAGGTCATCTTTTCAAAAACATTACCAAAATCCCCCCCTTTTCTGTGCTGCTTGACTTCCTTCACTGCTGATGTTTCTGCTTTCAGAGGACTGTGCTGCTGGATTCAGGTTCCTGCTTGTGCTGGTGATGAGGCTCAGCATACTGTTGTGGTTCCCTGGGAGCCAAGTTTTGGTCCCTTGTGGTTCCTCTGTTGCACTGCCGGGGGTAGCCAGCATCCTCGGCCCCAGGGCTTGGCCCCAGTGGCTCTGTCTGGCTGCAAGCCCCAAATTATGTCCCGAGGAGGGGGAGCGTTTGGGGAATGGTTTGAAGGCAAGAGTTGACAGCAGCTTCCCAGAGCCTGGCTGCTCGTTGCAGGTGGCTGGACGTGCAGTGGACCCCACCCGTATTCCAGGCTTTCATTTGGAGGTGATACCAAGACCATATCATCAGGCATCGTTGTTGGGTATAATCCTTTCAAGGACTGAAAGGCTTCAGGGCACAGCATAGACTGCTGTCTTCCTCGCTGTTGTGATGGAACAGCAGCTTAGGGATTTGTGGCACGGTTCAGCGCTGATACCCCGTTGCTGAGTACAGCAGAGCTGTCTGCCGGGCAGCCCCTCTGCAGAGCGCCGTGCCTCGGGGAGCGCTGCGCTGTGCTGGCCTCCTGCCTCCTGTCCATCTGGCTTGGCTCTCCATCCTGTTCCCTCTTCCCTGGGTTATTGCCACAACGAGGGGTGTTTGGGTGTAATTTGCACCAAAATACACAGCACTATTAATATCGCTGGGGTGGAAAATAGGAGTGTGTCATGCTGGCTGTAAACAGCCGACTTGGAGACAAGAAGCAGCCTTGAGCAGCACACCCCATGGTGCGTGCACAGCCTGTTTACAATGTCTGAAGAATGCAGCACTGTTGTTAGCCCAACACCGTGACCAGCCCAAGGAGTTTTTCAGTAGCTAACCCAGTGTGGCCAAAATGGAAAGGCTTATTCCTCCCACTCTGGACCCGGCAAAGCACAAGAAATGAGGAGCCTAAACCAAACTAAGCGCTGTTGGGTGTCTTGTTGTTGCTTTGACGGTGTACACTTGCTGTCCTTGTTAAAAGCATCGTATTTTCAATAATTAGTAAGAAGGAGGGTCATGGGAGACATGTTATATGCTTTTGTCTTGCTCCCTTTCCTGGCAGGTATTTACTCTACTTTATTTCTCTTGGAAATCTGGCAGGAGTGAAGCACATGAAATGTATGTGTCAAAAGCCAATAGCTCCCTAACAGGAAATATGCTTCGTATTAGAGGATTCATTCTCTCATGCCAAATAAAACAAGAAAATATTTTCTTCTTGATGCGACTTGAGTTTCCAACGTCAAGCACGCCAAACTAGTGGGAATTATTGAATTTGCTCTGAAACTGCAGGGCTAATGCATAGGCTGGGCATCTTTCAGCCCGCTCTTGGAGAGGCATCTCTTGCAGCAGTGATGGGTGGGAGAGAGCAGAAAGCAAGGACTGCCTTAAGGTCTGGTTCAGGCACTGTGTGGAGATCAAAGTTGCATTCCCTGGCTCTGTCTCTTCCTTCCTGGTTTTTTTTTTTTTCCAGGGTTCTCTTTTACATCAGATACCAAAAGGTATTGGGCTGCTCAAATGTGCCTGTGTTCCATGGGAGTTAAACACCTTAACATTTGCGAGAGTTTAAGCCTTGATTTCTCTGTGCCTCGTTTTCCCAACTGTGAAATGTTTTGTTCTCCTGGGGATGGCTAACAGCATGCCCAGGCTACGGCCAGGTAGGAAAGGCATGCAGCGTTTCGCCAGCAGCTCAGGTGAAAAGAGGTGGGATGCTGAGATGCAACTTGGGCAGTGGGGGTCTGTGCTCCACAGGTGTCTCCCAAATGCTGGTACGCAGCAGAGCAGCTTGAAGTTACATACCTGCCCACTCTGCCTTGAATGCTTTGGGGTGTCCTGGGACTGCAGCAGCCTCTCTCCAGGCTCTGACCTGTACTGGTGGGGATACAGGTGGCATTGCGTTGCGCTGCATGTTCCTAGATGCATTGTAACCTTGCGTGCTCCTGCTTGTTAGTTGTACCAAGATGACTTGGTTACAAATCTGTTGTGGGAGGAAATCTCTTTATTTTGAAGCCAGTAAATTATTTCAGAAACATTTACATACTGCAAATGTAGTGTTCTGCCTCTGAAAGTGATGTTTAAGGCCTTAGAGTTTTTGCCAAGTTGGCTCATCTGGGACAGCAGATGTTTCTGCTTCTCCTCTCTCACCGCAAGCTATAGCAGCGTTGCTGGCAGCTCTGAGCTGGGACTTGTCTGTTGTGCCGAGGTAAGGAAACCCCCTCGCAGAGCACGCCTCCTCCTCACGTCCTCACCTGCTGCCCCAAGGAAGGGCCACGGGGCTGCCCGTGTCCTGTGTGGGGTGGACACTTTGCTCCGCAAGGTGCCACCACGTGTTTCCCAGGCAGCGTCTGCCTCCGTCCTCTGTGCCACCTTCTGTGCTTTCCCAATGGTGGCAGCTCTGCCACTCGCCTCATACCTTGTAAAACAAATGGTGGATCAAAACAGGCTCGTGGGCATGGGGCAGGTTCCTGCTTATCTATGCCTTTCCCCTCCAGATAAGAAACTCCTAGCAGGCGGCTGCTACTGCGCGGTGTAGGTGGGTGCAGAGAGATGCTGGTTCCTTTCTTGTGGTATCCTAAAAAAAGCGAGTTTTTACGTGCACTGCTGGAGTCCAGCATGTGCCATATGAGGGCTGTTGAGTCAGGAATTGGCTTCGGAGGGGTTGCCTGGCTGTTCCAGCTCTGGAAGCTGCAGTGCAGTGGTGCTACAGAGCCTGACCTGAAGTGCTAAGATATGGGAAGCCCCTTCATCTTCAAAGATCTGGAGCTCTTTCTAGAGATTTTTGGGGAGAAAAAAGCCTTTTCTTTTAATGACATTCCTTGCCCGTTTTTGGAACGATAAGGATCAAGGCATACGCTTTTCCATTGCGACCACTATTGCTTGTTGCAGCTGCTCCTCATGTGCACGTCTCAGCACTAATGTTTGCTCGGCAAGAGGCACGTAGCTGGTAGGGAGACAGGAGAAATAGGTCCATGTGAACCTATGCCTCTAATTAGAGGCATGGTGGCTAGGATGGGGCCCTGTTTCTGGTTTTGCAGCGCCCTGTTGACTGGCCTTGGACAAGCTGCTCTGGGTCTCCCTTGGCGCTGGCTTCCTGGGCCGTGGTGGAGGATGTGCTGTCCTGTCTCGCCAAGTGCTCTGAGCTTAGGTGCTGGATGGTGGCTCCCTAAGCGGTGGAGTTGGGTCTGGTGCTGCTGCTGTAAAAACTCTGATTTGGCAAATAACATCTTTGAACGTTTGCGTCTGTGAGATGGCAGTGGGGAGGAGAGGGTTTTGCATGCGTCCAAAGAGGAAGATGATGTGACTGGATAATTTGGGGAGCAGGAAAGTGTGGGTGCTAAGCAGGCGCAAATGATGAAGTGGTAGCAACCCTTCTTCCCTTTGGGGACACCGGTGGTGGACTGTTAATAGGAGGCTTGTGTTTCTGGTAACGTGGAGAGCTGCTGAAGTGGCCTATTCGTGCTGAATATTTGGGAAATGCTGGATGCATTTCGATATGTTTAAAGTGCTTAAATGTTTTTAATCAATGCAACTGAAGTCGTCAAACCTAATACTTATGCAGAGTGAGTGGCCTGGAGCTATTTCTGTTTTGTTGCCCTGTGTGTAGCGTTGTCTCCAAGACATTGCTGTTGCCACTTACTTTCTGGGAACGGTATGTCTCAAACAATGTATTGTCTCCCTAGGGCCCCAAGAAATTTCTTATTTCTATCTCCAGGAAAATAAAAGTGTATTAGCTCCAAAATACAAACCAGAATGTAGCAGTATTTTTCCACCAGGAGAATTTTTCTCTCTTACCAATGTGGCTTTTTTATGGAGTGAATAAATGCATTTATAATAACCCTGCGGGTGTGATTTAGGCTACTGTTCACTGAAGCGACTACCCACAGAGTTGCGTAACCTGTGAGAAGATGGATTATAATAACTTGGTTTAGTTCATATCAGCCATTTCTTTACTGTCCTCTTGATGCCCCTGGCAGAGTGGGTTTCATTTAGCAACTCAGTTCCTGAAGGGGGGAGTGCACCTTGCTTTGATTTCACCCCGAGTTATTTAGCAAAGATGCGGTGTGAGGTTCTATGAGATCTGGAAAGATAAGGTGCAGTTTTTATATATATTTTTTTTTCCCTTTGTGAGCTCTTCTGCAGCAGAGGTGCCCACCAACAGCAATTTGTGCCTTTTCTTACTGCATTTGTGTGTTAAAGGTGTTACGGAGGGTGCCCCACTTCTGCTGACTTCTCAGTGCTCTCTTTGAGCCCCTTGTGTTCCCTCACCCTTCCTGGGATTGCCAGAGACCCGCCCCAGGCAATGCCATGCCTCTGGCTTTCTCGGCATCCCATCAGCCTCCCTCCACTGTAGTCCCCTTTGATTTTTGTCGGTGAGCTCCTGGACCGTGTCAGCATGGGCGACTCTGAGCAAGGGCTGGTGCTGCAATGCAGCGGTGGTGCTTGCTTCTGCTCCTCACACTGCCTTTTGTCCACTCTAGTGTCCAGAACCAGGTGGACGAAGTCATCGATGTTATGCAGGAGAACATCACGAAGGTGATTGAAAGAGGCGAGCGGCTGGATGACCTGCAGGATAAATCAGGTACGATGCTAAATGCCGCTCTGCCGGCCTGTTCCCCACATCTCTTCCCATTGCTGGGCCAGGTTACCTGGTGTCAGTTCAGAAAGCGCCTAATGACAGACCTGGGAGTATTTCTGTGCCTCCTGGGAGTGGTGTTTCCCAGCCTTGGGCTGCAGATCTGACTTTCTGCTGACATTCGCCTTCACCTTCTGCTGCTCTGCGCAGAGGCATTAGTTTGGAGGCGTTTGGGTGCTGTAATCTAGTTCGTCCTTCAAGCAAAGGTAGATTGGTCTGTCTCCCAACAGCCCTGAGCGCTTCAGCTGTCTGCTCGCTTGCTGGCTTGCAGAGCAAATTCCTGTCCTCAGAGGGCAGCCAGTACAAAGGGGGCTCAGTGGGACTCGGCAGGTCTGTGTGTGCTCTAGCGAAGGGCGTCACATTGGCATCTGCTGTGGCTTTGGTGAATCACACTGTGGTTGGGTCTTTTCCCCTAATGCTGAGTTTATTGCTTAAAACTCAGCGGAGTCAGAGTGGATGCTCTGACTGTGCGCGGGCTGCTGAATCGCCTCTTTTCTTTCCTTCAATAGAAAGTTTATCAGACAATGCAACAGCTTTTAGCAACAGAGCCAAGCAGCTTCGGAGACAGATGTGGTGGCGAGGCTGCAAGGTGAGCAACAACAGAAACAGGCATGGGCGGGTTTGTGAAAGGGTCGTTACCTGCCCCCACCCTGGGAGGGGATGGAGAAGGCCTGCTTTCTAGCTGAAAAGATGCTGGAAGGCAAAGGCCTCCTTTCAGGTCGAAGCAGCTACACGTGGCACCCCGTGTAACATGCCTCTGTGCTCCCCTTGCAGATGAAGGCGATCATAGCGCTGGTGACGATCATTCTCCTGCTCGTGATCATTGGTGAGTAGCTCCAGGTCACCCCAGCCATGTCTGGCATTGAAATATTTGTGGCACTCCACACTGAGTGACACCGTGGTGCTCTTGTCCCTGAGGGAGAGCACCTGAGCCGCTCCGTCGGGCCCCACTCTGCCTTAAGCTGTCGTAAGTGGTGCCCGTAGCCCACACCACGCTGCTCTTCTGCAAGGCTTAAATGTGCACGCAGAGGAGCAGGCTCAAACCAAGTCCTACTGACTGTGGCCAAAAAAAGCCAACGTTGCCCTGCCAACGTTGTATCAATTCAGGGTTGGCACCGACTGATCCTCAGGCTGGTGGGAGTAGATGGAAGAGTTTCAGACTAGAGCAATGTCTTCCAAAGGCCTCTCCACATATATCAACTATCTTGCAATGGGCCTGCTCCCTGCAAATGCTCCTCCCCAAAGCTGCTGGGCTGCTTAATTTTCAGCAAGTAGCTGTTGCGGCTTTGCCGTTGGTCCCTTCCCCTGCCCTTCCTGGTCTCTCTGGAGCTCCCCAGAGCAGAGATGTCACCGCTTTTCCTACCAAACAGGTAATAACGACCAGAGCGTATTTCTTCCAGGCAGAAGTAGTAATTCAGCCCCCTGCCTGCAGAATGACATGCTCCAGGGATCCAAGCAGCCCAGCATGGCCAGCGCAGCTCTTCCGTGCCACAGGCTCCGGCGTGTTTTCCTCCCACTGACCATGGCCGGGGGCAGCTCTATTCTTTTTACTTCGGCAAAACCCCTGTGGCCTGTTGTCCGGCTGACACGCAGCCTGCAGCGGGAGAGGCAGAGCTGGCAGCAGGGTAGGAGCGTTGTAGAGAGAGAGACACTGATGGAAAATCCCATCTGGTTTAATTTTGGGAAGCTGGAAGGAGATGAAGGTGGCAGGAAATGTTGTCGTGTGTGTGTGCAGGCAGCAGATTGCATTAGCTTGAGCTTGGAAACACACTTTGCCTCGCAGCTGCTTGATGTTTGTCACTACAGAAACAGGGGGGATCTCTCTGGCAGGGATCGATGTTGCATGCAAAGGTGTGTGGCTGAGAGCTTGTTTCTTTGTGTTTTCCAGTACCCATAGTCCTGAAGTACCATACCTGACGGGGCAGCTGGAGGCTTCGGCGGAGCTGGCTCTGGGATAACCAAACTGCTGTGTAATTTAAGTGAGATATCTGTATATAGCTTTGAAGTTGTTTTTCTCCAAGGAGCGAGGAGGCAGCAGCAAGTAGCCAGTTCTAACAGAGCGTTTTAAGAACTGCCAAATGACCCTTTTTTTTGGTCGAGTACCTGCTCTGGCTGTCAGACTTTTTTATAACAGAAGATTCAGTTCCCAAACCGCCTGTTTTGTGGAATTCTGGGTCTCTGGTTTGGAGCTGGCTACTTGCCACTGTAGTTTATCTGTATATATGGTTGAGTTGTAATAATAATAATAGTAGCATTTGAGCAGTTCCCCGCTGCGTGTTGTGGAAGGCAGAGGGGACTCTGTCCTTTCATTGGAGCAAAGGAGGGGAAAAATGTCTGAAGAGAAACATACCATTATGCTACAGGGAACTGACCCTTCTGTGGAGAACTGCAAGGGTGTTGTTTCTCTCTTGTTCAAAAAAAAAAAAGGGAGAAAAAAAGAAATAATTAGGTTTTACAATCCAGAAGACTTTCTGGTCCTGCCATGGGAATGCACAAGCTCAGTGTTTTCAGTATTGCTGCTTACAGCTGTGACTAAAGACATTCCAGTAAACCTATTTTTGACTGTACATGTGGAGTTCCTGTACGTCTTCATAGTGTTCTGGAGGATGTTCACAGCTCTCCACTGCCGGGAGTCACTAGGAAAGGGCTGTTTCAGTGTTTTCTTAACCAAAAGCAAGAAGCACTGTGTGTAAAGCCCAACTAATGCCCAATGATATAAAAGACACAGCAGGAGAATGACAGCTCTCCTGAAACCAGTCCAGGGCGAACAAGCCCATCTCGTATTCAGAGCCCTTCACCTTGATGTGGTGGTTGTGATCCCAAATGCCAGCCCCTTTTGCATTCCTGTGATCTGGCGGGGTGGGGGCTGTTCCCAGACAGATGCACTGGGGTGTAGGGGCCCCTGTGCTGGACTAAACAGGAGCTGAGCTCCTCCATCTGTGGGTGGGACTGCTGCATTTTGACTCTATCCAACCGTGGTCTCAGGTGTCGGTGGCATTTATTTTTGGGACCCTCGTTCCTTCCAGCCCTGAGCTCGGGACTAGGCTCTCCTGGTTCTCTTTTTGCTGTCTCTTATCTGATGAGAGAAGGATTGTCCTGCTTAGCGTGTGTCTGAAGTAATGTTGGAGAGGGGAAATGGTGCCCCAGAGAATTCTCAGTGCCATGTCCCAGCTTCCTCTTTTGAACCCGCCCTCAGTACCTCGTACACAGTTTCCACCTGAGTGGTGGTGCTGCTTCATGCAGAGAGGGGGATTAAAAGTGAGCACAGCAGGCTGGAGGGTTGGATGTGATTACAAGCTCTGCTTGCCCAGCTGGAATATAAATAGGGCTTTTTCCCCTCTGTGGGCCCTGGTCTCCCCAGGTGGGAACCAGAAAGCCAAGCTGGGTTTTTCCTCCTGAAGTGTAGCCTGGTTTTAAGATCATGCACGCAGTGGAAAGGACAAAAATCATCCTGCCTATGCCTTTGGCTACTCTCCACCTGCAAGGGATCAAGAGGGGGGATGAAGAGGGACTGTGTCTGTCTTCAGGGGGGGCTGCAGGTCTTGCTGAGCTATCGGGTGCCTTTTCCTGCCAGCTGAAAAGTGAGTTAATGGCACTGCGAGCCTGTGTAATGGCCACGCTGTGCCTGCTCTGGTGTGCCTGTTAGGGCAGGCTTTACTCCGGCTGCTGGAGAGCCCTGCCAGTACCTCTGGCTTTCTCTCCCAGCCCCATCTTGCCTTTGCTTCTGCTGCTGCCACCCCCAGAAGGACCTTGGTGCCGCAGCAGCACATCAGGACTTCAAATCCCTGCTGGCACCAGGTCTGAGCAAGAGAAGTTAGCTGATCCAGATCCATGGAAAATGAGGTGGCAAGGTTAGTGCCCCTGAGCCTGGACCGTTTGTGTCTTGTGCCTGCTTCGGACTCATCCTTTGATACCAAAGGGACTGGACCAGGCCCACCCCGGGCAGCTGGGCACAGGCAGCAGGTTCTTGCCCTGGAAAAGCTGGTTTTCCTCGACAGTGCTGCCAGAGTGCTTTTGCAGCATTTCCCAGGAGGCTGGGGTGCAAACGGTTGTACTCGAGATGCAGGGCAGGGAAAGCTGCCGTGGCCAAAGCCTTCAGTGCACTTCCATGGGTTGCCAGGATTAGGTGTTGATCAATTTTAGGTTCAAGTCACTGAACGCTGGAGTCGTCCCGAGCACAGACCTTCTCAAGGGACCAGCTCGGGCTGTGAGAGGCAGCAGCACAGCAAACTGTGGTCAGTAACTTCACAGTAATAGAATTTATTGAGCAAGTTTTACAGATTTTTTTTTTTTTTTTTTTTTTCAAGGCTGAAAAGACCATTACAATGTCTGGTCTCAGGTATGTTACAGAGCACTCCTTATGTTCCTTTGGGATACCATGGTCTTTATATTGCAGCCTGTGCTGTCTCACCCTGGACTGGTGGCAGGGAGAACGGTAGTGAGTGGAAAGGGTTGTTGTTTCCAGCAGCGTCTGCATGCTTTGGGGTTGGTTTTCACTTAGGAGACGTTATGAAGGAGATTTTACAACAAAAACAATTCCTTCACCTAAGCGTATGGTCTGTTTTATCCATTCCTTCTTTGTGCAGAAGACAGACCTCTTCATTAGCTGCTGTTTTCCACATGATCGCTTTTTTACAAGGAACGGCATGTTTTGGCTGGGGTTGTGCATTCCTGCTGCAGGGCTGGTTCCTCCTCCCAGGCTTGCTGGTGAGACCCATGCAGCGAGACCCTGGGGTCCCCACGCCTGAGGGCACAGGGGCTGCAGGGATGGATGTCTGCAGCTCTTATGCAGGTGGGGAGAGGCCTCCCTGCTCCCGGTTCTGGGAGCTGGCCAGACCAGAGGGGAAGAAGTCCCCCCCTGGGGAGTCCCAGAAGCTCCTGTTTTGCAAGGGGAGGACTGGGTCTGAGGTGGAGGACTGGGTGCCACAGTGGGAGAGCTCTCAGGACCCTGCTGCTTGGCAGGGCGCTGCTCCCCACTACCCTTTGGCTGGGGAGCACGGGGCTTCACTGACCCATTGCTCTAGGGCTCCACAGTGGGAGCAGGGACCACCTCTTGACCATCCTGATCATCAGGACAATCTCCTGAGTCCAGCTCTCCCCACTCATGTTTTTGCTACAGCTGCCAGCTGGTCCCGCATCACCCTCAGCCAGATGAAACTTGATGGCTCCCACATAGGAAATCTCGCATCAGAAAGTGCAGGCTTGCCAGAGGTCGGGGAGTAAATAGCAGCAGCGCTTGGAGCACAACCCGCTACCCAGTTCCCCAACTACACGGGATTCTCCCTCAGGGAAAACAGGGAGAGGGATCCTCCGGCCGCGGCTGCCAAACGCTGGG